TATATATATATATATATATATATATATATATATAAACAAATTATTAATGATTGCTAACTTATGTTTTTGCAAGTCTGTGTGTGTTACCTGAGCAGAGTTTGTAGCCGTGGTGTTGTTTTAGGGGTTGGAGGATAGATGTCCCTGTATTTAGACACTAAGCAGAGCCCATACTGCAGAAACCCATGTAGAGAGTCACCTAGCTCCTGTTTCTGTTGCCGTGCAAACATGTTTAATGTTTTTTATTTTTTTTTTATCTTTTCAATTTGAACATATTTTAAACTGTAAATTATTCCCTTGAAAGCCTGACTAAATTTTTTATCAGGCACTACTTCAGTCTTCAGTGTCCCACAACCCATTAAAAATCACTCTAATATGCTGATCTGGTTTTAAATGTATTATCGTTCAAAACTTTGGGGTAAGTTTAAAAAAAAATAAAAAATTAATACTTTAATTCAGCAAGGATGCATTAAAGGGATAGTTCACCCAAAAATTAAAATGTTGTCATAATTTACTCACCCTTAAGTTGTCAAATATAGATTTTTTAAAATGGAAATCAATGTCTACCAGCAACTGTTTGGTTATGAATATTCTTCCAAATATTGTGTTTAACAAAAAAAAACTCAGGTTTGGAACAACTTAAGGGTGAGTAAGTGAATTTTCATTTATAGGTGAACTACCCCTTTAAATTGATCAAAAGTGACAGTAAATCATACACATAGAAGACAAAATTGACTAGAATAAAATTGTTTATCACATAAAATGTTTAGCTGCTGATAAAATGTTTGGCTTTCTTGTGACAGCAAAAACAGCTCAACTTTACCACAGCATGACGATGAGACTTGATATCAGCCCATAACACTGATGATTTATGTGATGCATTGCTAAAACATCATGTGACCCTGTTGCAACATCCCTGCTCGTGATGCAGTGTAGAAAGTTCTAATTCTGTACATCTACACCCACTCTGAAAGCTGTGGGTTTCAGCTTTCAAATCACAGGGGCAAAATACCACACAAGAATCACCAACCTGCAGGTAGGGGAGTTCCTGCTGATCCCAGTGGTACTCTATACTGGTTAGCTGCTGGAAAAGCACAGTTGAGTCCACCTCCAGGCTTTGGTAAAGTTTGCTGTAGGCCACCCACTTCCTGTGCAGCACCACAAACAACCCACACAAGAGATTTAAATCCATCAGCATGCACTCCATTCAATACATCTAAACAGCACGCTGAGCTCATTGTACTGGGGATGTAGTAATTTTTTTTTTAAAACTGTCCCTAAAAAGCACAAATCAACACTGTCTGGTTTGCTGTGTTCATTTTATCAGTCTTGCTTTCAAATAAGTGATGGCATATTCTTACGCCAAGTCTTGGAGAAAAGGTGAAATGTTATTCTGGTTGGCGTAGTGCTCGAGCAGGGCTGTCCCCTCCCCACACAACTCTCCCTTCCACGGATTACTGTCCTGCGGGGTGAGAGAGTGGCATTGAAAAACAGAGAGTGTGACTGTGTTGTGAAAAGAAAAGCTGAGTTTAAACCTTACAGTATATAAAGAGTATTGTGCAGCAGGAAGTGATGTTGGAGCTTACACAACCAGTGGCCGTTTAAGATATTTCATGATTTTTAGAGAAGCTTTCATAAATTCTCTGTTAAATGTGTTGTACCTGTTGTTTAGAGATATGGGCTTGAACAAACTGCTGCAGGATGCCACAGTAATTCACATAAGGACTCCGTCCAGCACTCAGGGTCTCATCTCTCTGTAATAAATGAATCAAATGAAATGTAAGCTAAGGATCTGTCATTCAGTCATAAACTGTCTGAAGTATACTAAAAGTATAATAGTCAGTTTGCAATGTTCATCTCTGGTTTGGTCTGTTTCAAAGGTTTCAAGACCAGTGCACAAACAGACGCTTTATTCCAGATTATTTCTCACAACTTTGAGTCTCTTTCACTTTTAGATAACATACTTCACATCAATATAGTTTTGTAATTTTATGTGCTTTTGTCATTTGTATTAGTTTTTCTTTTCTTAAATATTACCATTTAGATTTAATTAGGTTATTTTTTCAGTTCCAGAATTAGTTCTTATTTATTTCCAGTTAGTAATTTTAGTGCTTTAACTCCAAAACTTATATTTTATTTTATTTCAATTAGCAATGTTTTAATAGTTTTAGTTTTAGTTAATGATAATTAATTCACACATTCTAATGCATAGATATTTAGGTTCAGTTTTCAAAAATTACAAGATGAACTGAAAATAATTCCACATGCTCTGGTCATTCACACAGTTGCACTTCACTTTTTAAAAATATATTTAAAAAAATGGCATTTCTTAAAAAAAAACAGAAAAGAAGTACTTGCAACACTGTAGAAGATCCCTTTGTGATCTTTACGAGTTAACCAAACAAAAACCACAATTTTTAAGTACTGGAAAACTTGATGGCCTGCTGATTAACACAGGAGAGAAGAAAGCACCTCTTTATGAATGTATTTAAGCTGAAGATGACACTGTCCTCTGTCTGGGTACGTCTCTGTTCGGGGCTCCAGGTTATACCATGTGTCCTCTGTGCAATGCAGGTCCTGCCCACAACACACATACAGTACATAAAGCACATGCCATGCAACATAACTATAAGAGATTGACATATCTTTGTACTTTATAATATATTATAATATTCCTTTAAATACGGCATAAAACAGAATGTCTGAGGTAAGAACTGGTTACTGGAATTGAATTGATATATGGAAAATCAAAATGATGAGCATTAACTAATGTTATGCAAAATACCTTCAGCTTTAGAACAACATTCCCCAGAAAATCATCTTGGCCTTTCAATTTTTTTGCATCTTTTATCATCCTGTGAAGAGACAGTTGAACACTCAGCATTAAATTCAATGCCAGCACCATTAATAAGAATTATTTAAAATATTTTTAACTTAAAAAATATTATTTATTTACAATGGCTTGCATGATTTAAAAGCTTTAAATGTTTCAAACCTCCTGAGTCCATGGATGTTTGTGCGAAACTCATCAAATTTTTGCACTAGTGACACCTCTTCATCTTTGTCCCTTAAAATAAACATGATTGAGGTGATTAGAATGAACACATAATGTAAAATATACAGTACAGTACAGTATTTCTTATTAAACAGCAAGTTCTTTTCACGCACCACATCTCAATGTGGAAATTGGCATTTGAGATGTCTTCAAATTCCCTATAAATAAGAAGCAAGCGTTGAGACAAAACGATCAGTCAACAAGTTGTATAAACAGCTGCTCAAATACTATAGAAGAAATGCCTACTCACAGTTTGAAGGTCTCGTCCCAGATGGGGTTGAGTGTTTGTTTCTTTATGGTTGTCTGCAACACCAGCCCTTTAGCTGAACCCCGAACTACTGCTTTCTGAGGTTTATTGGATGATCCACCAGCACGAGACTCCTTGTCTTCACATAGGATCGACAGCAGGCAGTACGGATCACTGAATCCTGTAATCAAATATGCAGATACATGTAGAGGTTGTCAAATCCCGAAACTCCTTTCTGCAGTAATAGATCTGTTTGTGTTTTTACTATTCTGTAAAATGAACAACCCACAGTCAACAGAAAGCAGATAAAGTCATACCACTAATGTCCTTCCCCAGAATTCCCTTGGCTTGTTTCACTGTAACCATGAGGCTGTAGATCGGGGCCTAGTCGTGGAGAAATTTACATATGTAATTCAGTAAATAACAACATAATGAAATAGACTAAAATAAAACCACTTTTTACATGTGGTATAGGCGGTTAGCTTTTCTTGCGGTCTGTGAAGTTTACAGATGCTTTTGCACACACATGAGAACACATAAGGGGTCTTGATCAACCTGTCTGGGTGTATTTTTCAATAATGACTAACTGACTGTATTTTCTGCCTTATAGATTACATATAATGTGGCTTTTATTACACAGGAGATTATATTATAATATGTTTTATGTCAAATCCTTACCAGCATGCTCTGGACTTTTTCACTCAAGGTTTTATGCTCATCCTCTGTCATGGAGAACGCCTGTCAGAGAATGGATATTTAAGAAAAATATGAAAATGAAAAATATAAAACGAATAACAACCATACTGTAAAATATACAAAGACTACAAACAAATCCAGAAAACTGTGTTACTACCTCTTTGATATAGTCTTGTAACTGCTTGGCACTGTATTGCTCTTTTGTGTGTGTTTTTCCTAAAATATGAGTGATTGTGTACAGAAGCTCCTTGTACAGCGGTTTGAGCTGCAGGGAAAATAATAGTCATTATTCCGCAAAGCTCACAGGAAAATACTTCAAGTTCTCAGTCTCTGATGAATCATTACCTCCTTCTCTTTATGTCTCTTTTCACTCTCCTCTGGGTTCTCAGAGTCTTTGAAATCCTGATAATTAAATTATATTGTAGCAAATAGAATAATTTGTTTACATAATACATTGTCCTTCTTTGAAAAAAAAAAAAAAACAGAACTAGCATCAATAGAGTTTTAAAATCTCTTCAGAAAAAATTTGTGAGAAATTATAGAATTAATAATTCCTTACCTTTCTGTTCAGTTTTCTGGTCATGCCCATTCTCCGTGCGGGTGAGGACTGAGAGAGAAAGAAGAGTTTCAATTCAAATCAGAAATTCAGAGAGAAATGCAGAAATTTAGAAAGAAAATATAAATAATTATACAGTACCTGCCTCTGTCGGATCCGAGTCGACCCTGAACTCTCAATGTGGGTCTACAGATATAAACGCAGAACTAGCATCAATAGAGTTTTAAAATCTCTTCAGAAAAAATTTGTGAGAAATTATAGAATGAATAATTCCTTACCTTTCTGTTCAGTTTTCTGGTCATGCCCATTCTCCGTGCGGGTGAGGACTGAGAGAGAAAGAAGAGTTTCAATTCAAATCAGAAATTCAGAGAGAAATGCAGAAATTTAGAAAGAAAATATAAATAATTATACAGTACCTGCCTCTGTCGGATCCGAGTCGACCCTGAACTCTCAATGTGGGTCTACAGATATAAACGAATGAAGCAAAGATACTTGATAAATTGAATAAATGTACAATCTGCAACATTTCTGCAATCATCAAACTGTTAACTGATATAGAAACTACATGCAAATACCTTTGTTGTTTGCTAACATGTATTCAGACACAAAACTTCAGTCACAACACATCACAACGTACAATATCATTACATCATAACGTTGTCTATTCTAATTCCTGATATTCCTATTTTTATTGCTAGAAAACATCCAGTAGAATTGGAATCATTTATAAAATAATATCACATAAACACTTTTGTACTCGGTTATCAAGTGTCGGGCTCCACATGGAACATGCCAATGCAAATGCATGATTGTTGGCCTATCTTCACTGCAGCACTTCCTTATTATTAGCAGTGAGGAAACTTCATCGTAGTGACCCACCATCATGGGTTTAGGATGTTGCTAGTGTGCCTTGTTTTTACTGAAAAATATGTAATAATATTTAATAAACTGAATAAATGTCAAAGCACCCCATGTAACAGAAACCAGTTTTTATATAAACTGTTTTAACACCATTTTAATTCTTCTTCTTCTTCTTTTTTTTGCATTTAATGTAACTAAAAATAGTGCTGCAGTGTCAATTTTTTTTAAAACACAAATGTTGCTCAATGAAAATGGTCACTAAACTGAAATGAATTCTAAAAGAATTGGAAAAAATAGTTTAAAATTGTTGTCACTGCTTGACATGTCATGTCACCTACCCTCAACTAATACCACTGCTTTGAGCATGCAACATATTAGGAAAGTTATAAAACATAGTTTTGACCCAAAGAAGGAAAAGGTTTTTAAAAAGTAATGCATTTTACTAACCTCTTTAGGAGGAAGAAGTAGGTTTTCCCCTTGTGTGGATGCCCCATCTTGGACTGGTACCATATTTTACAGCTGTACTCCTCACCCAATTATTCAGCTCTCCTAAACACAAGCAACGTGAGTGACAGATGCTCACAGCTTTTCCTCTGTTATATCAAATAGTCAACCGCCCAAATGGACACAAGTGTTGAGTCAAAAACGTCTCATGTTTATGTGCACAGTGTTTCATTTAGGGTGCGGAAGTTGCCGTTTCCTGTTAAAGGTCGGACCTGCAACTGAACAGTTTCTTCATACAGCAGAAACTTCTAGCACGTCATCTCCTCATGTTGTTCTGTCACTTCATCTTCCTTCCTCTCTCACAATGCACAACTCTATGCCACTCACTCTTTATCTTTATGTATTTAGTGTCACCAGCAAGGTGCAGTCTTTATAGCTTCTTTTCAAACAGGATGCTCTGCTCTCATAGTTTCCATGTTTGACATAGTGTATGTCACACATCTGTAGCTGTAGCACACTAGCTTTGCATCATTTGCAAAGAAGTGGCTGGTCTTTACAGTGTGTGATCTGTTCTGGTGAATATTAACAGATAACATTGAGTAATAATTGAGGAGAGGAAAAAGCTTCAGACCGCAAAGCAGTGTTGAATCTAACAATTCCCAAACTCTCTGTTGGGAAGAATCAATAGGAGACTATGTTTCTCAAAATAAAGATTAACTTTTACAGTGCTCATTAATTTGAAGATATTGACTAGACAGGATGTAGACTTAAATCTTAAAAGTAATTTTTCTAGAAACTGTCTGTTTTTTTTGTTTTGTTTTTACAAGTTTTTAACCACTTAAACAACTTGAATCAAAACAGAACATATAAACCAAGGACCATTTGTATTCTCTACACTAGAAGGACAAATGTTGTACTATGTCCAGAAGCATAAATGCATAATTTTGTTTTGTCAAGCATAATTTTCCATGCGGAGAGCTTGCCATTTCTGTTGGGTTGCTGAATCTGTGACCTGCAGGAAAAACTGTGATGCTAGTGTTTGGAAAGTCTTAGTCATACATATTATTTTTTGATCCCACCAACATGTAATTTAATATTGCTTTTGTAAATGGGAAATCCCCATAAACACATTTTCCCTTCTATATTTAGAGCTGTAAACCTCCAAGGGGGGCTGCAAGATGTTATAAATAATATAATATAATATAATATAAAATGCTTCCAAACTATTTGTAGTTCCCACTGCGATGTGAAGAGTAAAAGCTCCCATCATGTGGTATTAATGAAGAACTCCTGGGGTTGAGAAAGATGCGAATATGCAAAACACAGTTAAAGATAAAAATCAGCACAGAAGCGTACTATGTATGTATGTATTATAATATTTAAAATATTTTACTAAAACTGTTTACAGTAGTTTGTATTATAATGCTTATCCCTATATTCCACCCTGGATGTGTGGTACATTAATATTGTATACTGTTTGTTGTAGCCGTATTGAAATTCATATGGTATGTTGTTCATTGTGCTGCAAGTCATATTCCTTACTAATTGTAAATTTGGACTCACTGGCAAAGGAATGTACCTCACAATATGAAAGAAAGATACAATTTATCACTTCCATGTCATTCTGAATTGAACATAAAAGCCAAATTGAATAAAATGACTTCTGATTTGTCAATGAAAAACAGCATTAAATTGAAGAAAATTTGTGCTGCTAGCAGTCATACTTTTGCTGCTTTCAGTGCTGCCTTCATTCTGTCATCTCTGCTTAGTCATCTTTCTCTCTGTGAAAATGAACTGAACATGGAGATCAACTCAAGATCAGTTATCTGGAAGTTTCAAATAAATATTGCCTCAGAAAACATGTTTAACCACCACCGCAGCACAGACAATGTGTTCTTTGATAAGCCTTCATCAGTCAAGCATGGGTTGGATACTTCTTGGCACAATACTTGCTGGTGAGTGTCTTTTTCTTTGATTCACTTATTCAAAACAAATGTAATGTCAGACTACAAAGTGATTTGGAGCAGAAATGAGTTACATGATACTTCTCAAAGCTGAACCATTGGTGTTATGTCCAGCAGCTGTTGGTGACCCATCCTGATCAGTTCTTTCTACTTGCCACCTGCTGTCCACCATTGCCTGCCCTTCAGGGCATTACTGAAGGGTGTGGATGAGGTTCCGTTCCAGGGAGGGACCATTTGAGCATTCAACAGCGGTGTAGCGGTGGAAGCAAACGGCAAGTTAAAGCAGTGGAGTGCAAGGGGTGGGCCGCAGTACAAACAATCACCCCTGACCCCTGAAGTCCACTCTCTCAGGAGCTCTCTTGTCCTAATTTGATTTAATCTGCAGAAAATTGGGTCTCACCATATCCCTCTTTTCTTTCCAACCAGTGACTGTGTCTGAAATCGGGGGGAGGAGAACGCACTCCTAAAAGCCTTCTCAGTGGACACCGAAATCCTGAAAACCCAGCATTGTTCCCCCAGGTAGCGGTCTTGTTGTCTGGGGTAACCGGCTCCATGGTGAGATAACGAGCATGAAATCAAAGAAAAGGTGAACAACAGACAGGCTTCATGCAGGAGTGCACACAAGCCTCCTGTTCCTCTCTGAGACCTGGGGTGGGACATATTGAAGCTAATCGTAGGGGTCAGGGGGCTGGATGCATGCAGGAAAGGAGCTTCCTAGAAAAAAAGTCTCTGCTTTCCATAAAACAGATCAGATGCGAGTTGAAAAGCTGAACAATAAGACTGAATCGGTGCATATGAATGACCAGAAGGGCTTGTGATCTCCATTTGACTGGGAGCGAGAAGGATTTAGTCATGACGGTCTGTCAACTCACATTGCTGCAGATGTGCTGCATAGATGGAGGTGGTAGTTGGAAGCACATACCGGGCTGTCCCTTAAAGGTCCCAGTGGCTCATATTTTAACTCCTAAACCACAATTGGTTTGACAGAACTGTCCCCAGGCTGGGTAGACATGACAGAATGAAGGTATACAGATGAACTACATTAAAGGTATAGTTCACCCAAAAATGAAAATTCTGTCATTAATTACTCACCCTCATGTCGTTCCAAACCCATAAGACCTTCGTTCATCTTCAGAACACAAATTAAGATTTTTAAGATCAAAAGTTTTGATGAACTCCGAGAGCTTTCTGACCCTGCATAGACAGCAAGGGAACTACCACGTTCAAGGCCCAGAAGCTTGGTAAGGACATTATTAAAATAGTCCATGTGACATCAGTGGTTCAACCTTAATTTTATGAAGCTACGAGAATACTTTTTGTGCGCAAAGAAAACAAAAATAACAACTTTATTCAACAATTTCTTCTCTTCTGGTCAGTCTCCGCTGCTATTCATGAGAGTACCATGGCGCATGCGTGTGATGCTGCTGATGCAGGAGCCGGCGTTCTGGCGTAGAACATGCATGCGCTGCGCCTTGTTTACAAGCAGAGGAATGCACACACATGCGTCATGGTACTGAATATCGGCGTAGATGATGAAGATGAAATGCATTATCATTAGGCAAAATATTAGATAAACAAATATGCAAGGGTCAGGGGAAGTGTAGTTCATGATGGGGTTTCAATCCTGCTGAAACATGTGGACAGTTCTGTGACCGCAGATTCTGTGTGGGCCTGCTTATATGTACTGCCAGCAATACAACATGCTTTTTTTGTAAGTCTCTTTAGTAAGAAAATTTCTACCAAGAAGATTTACATGTAGTTAAGATTTATTTGAAAAGTTCGAAATGATTCATATTATAGTCCAGTGTTAGTTCTCCATCCAGAAGTGCTTGTGTCATAACCTCAAGTCGCAGAGTCACAACAAAGGAATCACCATTATATCGAGAAGCTAAGCTAGAGTGTGTGTAATTCTCGACCAGGATGTGATGTGAAAGGAAGCACAGTAGAAACAGATGGTTTGGTTTTCTTTGTCAAATCTATGTTTGTCTTTATTTCCTAATAATATTTTCTATGGAGGGAAATCTGAGGCTAAATATCCAGTGGCTGAAGTAAATACTTGAGTTGTTGACTAAATATCCTGTCAGGAACTCTATCTAAACCTGATGAAATCACTTAAATACAAAAACAGTGGAACATGGAAGTCACAGCTTTTCTTTCATTATAAGACTCTAAAACCTGGTGAACTGCCTTGCTGTCTGCGTAGGCAGCTGTCTTCTAAGAAATAAACTTCACGAGAGGATGATTTGGGATGTTACATGAGCACTAAGTGCACAAGAGATCTGACTCAACATTTGATTTATATTTATATCGCAAAAGTGCTGCAGCAAGAGTTCTAAATCCTGGAAATGTGTTAGCATTTTTGCACTTCCAGTTCCATCATCCGATTTGTTTTTTGAAAAACTGCCTGAAATAAGGTCTTGACAAAAGCTCAAGATATTTTCATGTTTTATTCTACAAAACACAAAATAAATCAATAATATCAAGCGCTTTATTTATTTTTTAAGCTTTAATGTGTCTTGAAGAAGGCAGTTGTTATCAACGAACAGATAAACTCCTCTACTCACTAATGCACTTTTACAGCCTCTTTGTGTTTATACTAGTGCTCTTGCAAACTATTCTAACTCCTCAAATTCATATAGATTTTAAATAAAGATTGAAGAGTTGTCAGAAGCATAGTCATGCACTTGTGATGCAGTTTGTTATCCTAATTATTGCTTTTTACTTCTTGAACGTTTTTTATATTTAAAACTAAAACTATTTAAATATTTGTATTAATGGAAATAAAGGTACAGTAAAATATTAAATCAAAAACTTGTACATTAGAAATTGTTTACTGAAGTACTAAAATTACTTAAACTGAAAAAAATGTACTTTTTTTAAATCAGTTTATTAGAGTCTATTAAGTGATTGCATTCCAGTGCCATTTGCAATGCAATAATTTGACCATGAAAGTATCTCAGAGAGCAGCATAATTATATGCCTGCATACACCCTATAATGCCTTAAAATGCTGCCTACTCGGACAGTTCACTATAGGTTTTTGAAAAAGAACCTTAATGTATCTGAAGAAACTGCAGCGTTAATAATAATATCTGAATATCAATGGATTGTCTGGAGCAACCTAAGTAGGAACTCTTGCTAAGGTCTCGTTTCTAGAAGAAGCAGATGGGAGATGGAAGCTGGACCAATTAGCTTTGCTGATAAGGACAAAAAACACAAGCTGAACTTGGGTGGGCAATTTCCTGTAATTCC